AATTGAATATAAATTCTAATTTACTTTTGTTTTTACTTTCTAGCTTATTTTGCTTGTTTGCAATGCAAATAAAATCTATACTATAGAAAAGGGGATATTTGCCTTGATTCTGGTGTAGGTTATAAAACTTAAAATTGATTGTATATAATCTTATATTTAGGCTCAGTTTGAGCATAAATGCATATATATAGAGTGCAAAATTTTGTATTTTGAATTATTTTTTATATATTTGTATTGTATATATTTGCATTTTCACTCTTTCCAAACTGAGCCTTACTTGCACACATATATAACATATGCATTTAAACTAGTAAAATAAAACCTAAGGCTGCATTTGGAAACAATGCAAATAAGTGTGAATGCAAATATGTAGTGTAAAGCGATTCATATATATTACAAAATTGGGTTAGTTTTGCACCGATTAATTTACCTTCTTACCAAACAGACTTTTATCTGTAATGGATAACATGAATTTCAATAAATTATATGTCTTTTTTTTTATCAAAAGCCCACTTGAATGCAAATTTACTTCTTTTTTTATTGATGCACTTTTACATCTTATTATCAATGCAAATATGCATTGGTCTGTTATTTATCAATGCATAAATGTTATGTTGCCAAACACAAGCTAAAGCTCAGTTGGAAAAGAGTACAAATACATGCAAAATAATACAAAATACACAAATATGCACTCTACATATTTGTAATTGTATTCCTTCCAAACTGAGCCTAAAATGATGTAAAATATAATCCAAAAATGAATTGAAACTCACACTTTTTTCATTTGTATTCTCGGCCCATGCATTTTTGCTAATGCAAATAAAATAGAGCCAGTGATACATATTGGAGTGCAAATAATTTGGATGCAAAGTTCTGTTTAATTTTTATTTCAACCCTTTCCTTATTTTGTATGTTTGCATTACAGGTGAAGTAAAATAGAACTTGAAACAATGTAAAACTCAGAAGAAAAAGGAAACGAAATTTGCATTCTTATCATTTACACTCTCATACATTTATATTAGTGTAAATAATTTTTTTATAATTAATGCTGAAAACAGATATGAAATACTAGTACCAAACAGAAAGTGTTGTTATTCTAATAAATGTCCTACCTAACAACAAACTTTAAAAAAAGACATCATTTTTTAAAATACGTACTTTCAMGTTTCAACGCATAAACCGAGAAAATAGTACTGTATCTATAGATGCCAAACATATACTAAAATTTCATTATAAACAAATAGAGCCTTACCTACATATACGGAGAGATTTATGGACGGCTTCTGGTAAGAAAGAGAAAGTTGAGACTTAAAAGAAAGAATAGTTGATCTGCTCAAGGATTAAACCTTTTCCTTTTATTGGATAAACACTCTACGCTTAAACCTGTTTATAATTAATGTTAAGCAAAACTATCCAGTCTTAATTAGCTTCTCCTTCCCACGTGAAGGAAGAATCTTTTACATTCTATTTTATTAATTAATTAAGTAATAAAATAAAGCATTGGGATGATTACGAATAGATAAATGGGCCCACATTCCTTGGACATTCTAATTTGTGGGACCAACCATACAAGATTCCTAAGTGGGATGATTGTTGGTATTTGGTAAAAGGAGAGGTCAATTATGGGTCAGGACCATTTCTTTGTAGGATTTAAGGGTTTTTGAGTTTCGTCTTTATTTTTTATTAGCAGGCCTCATGGAATGCACGAATTTTATTAAACAAAATCTAAATTGAAGGATAAACTGATTTCAATGCAAATATTATTTTTGGTTTATTATGGTTAAATAAACTTGTATTAGTTTTTCTGTTAATATTTATTAATTTTTATTATGATCGTATAAGTTGTTGTTAATTTTTGTTTTTTATTAATGTTTAAATGAATTTTTTATTAATTTTTGTTAGATAATTTTTTTGATGTTTACTATTTTTTATTAGATTTTATTATAGAAAGCAATTTCAAATTAAATGGTTAATTTAAAACATCTAAGAAATAGGATAATGGCAAGCATATAAATGGGCTCACATTCCTTGGACATTCTAATTTGTGGGCCCAATCATATAAGATTTCTTAGTTGGATGATTGTTTGTATTTGATAAAATGAGAGCCCAATCATGGGCAAGGACTATTTGTTTATAGGATTTGAGGGTTTCTTGGTTTTATCTTTTGTTTTTTATCTTTTATGGGTTCACGGAATGTAAGCCATAGCTTATTCATGAAGGCTTAGAAGGGCAAAGGATGAATCATATAGTGTATGTATGGAAGTAGTAAGAAATGATTATGTACCAATAATTTAACAATAGATATGACATTAAATATAATAGACGACTCATTACGGATATATCCATGATTATAACTATGGATTTAGAACCATGTAATTATAATTGAGACATACAGTGCAAATCAATGTTTAAAGTATTAATACATATCATACTATATCATATGATATATATCAATTTTTGGACTTTCTCAAAAAATATCAAATTTTTACACTACGTGAAATAGGAGTGAGCATTTGGTTTATTCGGTTAAAAATCAAATTGAATAAATTGAAGTTTTAAAAACCGAACTAAAAAAGATAAAACAGAACTGAAACAGAATTATAGAAAAATCAACATTTTTGGTTTGATTTTCGGTACTTCCAGTTAAAACTGAATTTTAATAATATATATTATAACATATAACATATAATATATAATATATAATATATATTATGAAATCAAATTTTATTTTATTTATATATTAATATATAAATATATTATATATTATATATAATAATAAAAATTCAGTTAATTTAGTTAATCAAATTTCTAATTCTATAAACCAAAACCAAAAACTGAATAACCGAATCGATTTAACCAAAAACTGAACCGAAAAAACCAAAGTCAAAATTTTTGGTTTGATTATTCGGTTTTAATCGAATAATGCTCACCCCTAACATGAAATGCCATGAATTGACAAAATTTAGATTAAATTTCAAAAGATTACAAATGCAAATATATTAAGTGTAAAACCTTGTAAATTAATACTCTTTTTAGAGTTATTTGTATTGTACATGTTTGTAAGGCTAAGTTTGGGAAGATTACAAATATTTGGTTTGAAGGAAAAGATGAAGAAACCTATACAAACTTTTTACAGGGCCCCTGTCTTTCCCTTTCTTTCCCTACATATTCCTTCAAACCAAAGCACAGTCTTAGTAAATTGGTACCAATTATCCTAAAATGTGATAGGTGGAAACAATGTATTGGAGAGCATGGATCAAGAATATAACTGGGTTGATTTGGTTCGATTCTAATGGATCTATTCGACGATTTGACCCATTCACGTCAGCTCTATACACATGGGGCCCATTATCAGACTGGTGTGGCTTGTCATGATTGGCCACATCATCCAAGGTCTTTGAAGTTTGAACCGGTGGTTCCAAACCTTCTATTTGTACCAGACGAATATTTTTAATATTATAACCCTTGTACCACCATGAATTTCAATTTTCTCTACTTTTAATATTTTTATCTGCATTGAAGGCTAGATATTGTAGATGAATGTTGAGAGTAGGTACTACAATAATGAAACTTTGCCTTGACCTATGTTCTAATATGTTGAGCTAAAAATTAATAAACAAAAGTAATAAAATATTTAGCTTAATAAGCAGAAGTGACCTCCTACCTTTTATGTATTAATGTATTAGCTAAGAGATGCCGAATGTCAACTAGTTAGCCAACTTCTACAAGCCATGATCGAGAGAGAGAGATCCAACGGAACCAATTATGTTCGTTTTAGTTCCATGATTTTGTTCTCATTAATAATTGGATCAATTTTCGTTTTAGTTCCAATTTAATAATTGGATCAGTTTTATATACATATATAACTTTTTATTATATTTTATATCTGAAATGGTAAATTTAGTAAATAATATATAAGATAATATTAATTAAAAATACTTAATTTATTAACATATAAATAATTTATTAATTTACTGTCATTTTTATTAAGTTTATAACATCAAAATCCAAAATCGAAGTTATTTTCTAAATACAAAATATAAGGCAATATAATCGGGTGTATCGGATCAGACCCGATACCAATTGGGTCAGGAATGGGACACTCCTGTCCCGACCCAGACCCAACCCGTTCAGAGCCCTAACTACCTTTGAGCCTTGATCGGTTGGTTTAACCGCAAAGTTACACTGGTCTAGTTTAGGAGGGCGGTTCAAACCTGGCTGCTCTGTTTTTTTTTGGTTTTCCGACTCTGGGATCAGATCAAGATCTAGGGTTTTCCGGTAAAAGATCTAAGGGTTTTAGTGGTCCAATTTCTGCCCAAATTTTAATAAACCAGTCCTTCACTCTCCTATCATTGTAGGGATGCCACCTGGCAACTTCTGACCCGACCTGCCAATCTGATCTCCTTGGTCTCTCCAGCTCAGGTTCGGCATCTCCAGTCTAGTACGTCCTTTCTTTATCAAAGAATATTGCTCTAATGACCAATCCACCCATAATATAAAGACACAAACACCCTTCACACACAGCCTTCCAATCCTAAAATATTCTGAAACCCTAATCCCAAAATTGGGCATTTCTAGATAAACCCAATATGGCCCGGTCCAACCAGAAAACCAGGCCGTCCTTTGTTCTAGGAATTGGAAACATGTGATGTGAACTTTTCTCGCTTGGAATGTCTCAATTAATGGGAGCAACTGGATATGCCTCCACTGAGCCTTCATAAATTCGGAAAGAGAAAGGAGTACTCTTTTACTTCTTTAATCAGATCCGGATCGGACGTGCCAACGAAGTTCTACAGACTGAGTTTTGGTGGTATTTCATCTATACCGGATCACTAACGTCACTAAAATAAAAAAGGGAAAATGAAAGAAAATTAATTTCCAAGAAAATCGTGTCCGCTTCCTGCCTGGGAGGAAAAATGTGAGCTTGAGCTATTTCTCATTCTCGTGTATCGCGAGATGTCGGAGTGTTTCTCGTCTGGTTGGTGTCGACTGTGTCGCGTGTCTCTGAATCTCAGCATAAAAGCGCCACAAGAGAGAGAGAGAGAGAGAGAGAGAGAGAGAGAGAGATTGGAGATGGAGACCCATTCTCTTTCGTTTTCGTGTGCTAATCTTCAGAGCCGATGAGCTCGTTCGTCCGTTTTCTATGTTCTTTCTAATCATATAGATCAAAGTCAGTTCTCAAATCTTTCATTTTCTTTCCTTCTCTTGCCTAGAATTTCATTCTTTCGTTTTTTCTGTTCTGCTTCGTCAGCTTTCCCTGTTTAATCTTCTCTTTCGTCTTATTGTTTTGGTTTCTTGTTTCTCCTTGTTGATCGATTGAGCAATTCAACATTCTTAGCTTTTCAGCAAGGATATCTCTGAGAATTGATGGAGAATGTGGTATAAATGGCCTCTATTGCTGTGCTCTTTTTTTTTTTTTAATTTTATTTTCACGCAGTGGTTGCAGGGATTGAAGCGTCAGTGCAAACCATTGTTATCAGCTCTTTAGTGGCATCAACTTTATTTTTTGGACGTAAAAACTATTTTTTCTCTAAATTCTTTCTGGTTGTATAGATTTCTTGTAGGGTGATCGCGGGAAATCAGGAGTCAGGACATATTTGATGGAAACGAGCAGAGTTGTTGTTAGATGAGGTGTGGTATCTACTTTTCCTACAACAAGATTTTAGTTTTGTATTTTAAAGAATATATCACGGAAATGTCTTAATGACTGCGTCAGTTTGCCCAGGATTCTAAAATTTCCTTTCTGTTTTGCTTAAAGATTTCAGAAAACGGAAGAGAGCGATCAATGCTGGCTCATACCTCGTGAGATCAGTGCTTTCTGCCCTAGTATTCCGACATTCAGGTAATCTTTTGCTACCAACTTCTCTGCGTCAGGATCGGATCGACTGAAATCCGTACTTCATGTAAATGTGCTACAGCCGATTGTTTCTTGGATTATTCAGTCCATAATTTCAAGCGCTTAAATGCTCTTGGAAAATCTACGTGTACTTGGCAAGGATCAGGGAATTCTTTAGAGCTATTACGAAATGAGGTTTAGCTGCTTAGTTCTGATTGCTCTGTTTTTGTTTTGCTGTTTTTTCTGTACAGGGAATAGCCGAATAGGAGAAAGCAAGAAGTGAAGGTAATGACGAACAATTGATCTTCTTTAACTGTCTTGGATGAATTTTCTCTCCTAATATCAGAAATAGCAATTCGGCTTTCTCAATGCTTTCCTTCTCTTCCCCTCGGGACTCAGGTTTTTTAATGATCTTAATTCTGAAGGTTAGACTTACTTTACTGTAGACATCTAAAACGAGTGGTTCAACATGGACGGGAACCGACAGATGGAGGTTCATTACATCGACACTGGATTTCCGTACACTATTACCCAGAGTTTTATGGATTTGTTCGAAGGTCTTACATACTCTCAGGCGGATTTTCCTCTTGCAGCAACTATACATGATCAGGTACTAGTCTTTTCGATGTACCTTCAATTCCTTGGTCCTTAATAAGTTGGTCAAATAACCCTTCTTAGATTCTTTATGCTTAGTCACGATCAAATTCAAATCTGGTAGTTGATGTTGCTCATGGGTTGTGGTTGTTTCATATTGTGTATAAGGGGTTTTTTCTTGGTCTATTGGAGATAAAGAAAAAACAGAAAAGATGTTGGAAAATTGTAGGAAAGTCCATATTATAAAAAAATGTGGAGTCCTTAGTTCATCCTTTTAAAACATTTATAAAAAAGGRGAATTCAATTGTTTGTTTCTATCAAGTTGCTTATATCATTTGATTGACTTTGAATGTCAACTTTAAACACTGTCCTCGAGTGAATCTTCTTCACAACAAAATTTTCTTTTGTTTTGCTCTAAATATGCAGGAGAGTGCATACTGGTCAACGCATGAAAATTCATACAAGTTTGGAACATCAGGTCCAGGGAGTACTTCATATTATAGTGATAGTTATACCTATGAGTTAAATGATCATGTACAGAGAATAGAAGCAAGTGGGCAGGCCTGGGATAATGCTGCAACCATGAACTATGAAGATTTGACACCCACGAATATGCATGGGAGAGAAAATTCTGGGGCAACTATACATGTTACACCTGAAGACTGTATGTGAACTCTGAATTGTGGTCATGATTTGTTTTACTACTTATGTTATGGGTGGAACTTTTGAGCATATTCATGATGTATTGACTTAAAAGCTTTTAACAATTAGATAAGAAATGAATTGTTAACAAGTTACATCTTAGATAATCTCTGTAGGTAATTAAGTTACTGAGAATTCTTCCTTTTTGGCTGAACTCCTATCATCATAAAGCTTCTATCTCAAAGGTGCTGTTACTCCAAATAGAGAGAAAATGGTAAAAATATTATGGACAGTCTGTTCTTAGTGGTTGTAGATCAGTGGACGGTTGTAGAAGGTGTTTATGCAATGTGATGATATCCAACTGTTTATTGACCTAGATACTTGAGCAGCAACAATATGACCCTCTGACGAGTATCTCATGATGCATATAGTGCATCAACATTTTAGATGCTATGACTGTTTTAATTGTTTATATTTCATAAGTGATCATATTGAATTTTAATTGTCATACCTTCAGTATGGAATCTAGCTTTTCATCATGGTGAACATATGTTGGTCAGTGGGTCTGCACTCTCCTTGTTGGTTTGAGTATGCTTGTTCTTAGGCTTCATTTTTCTTGTTTACATTGGCATTACTTGATCCATTTAGTAATTTTCATTTTTTCAGATATAGGTGTAATCATAACCCATGATCCTACAATTTTGAGGAAGAATTTTTAGCAGTACTCAGTTTCACCATGTTTTTCTTTTGGATATCATGCTGAACTGTCTCCAGCCGTTTGAGAAACCAATTATTTCATCTAGTTCAATAATAATCTGTCCAGTCCAAGATGCATAGCTAATAGTAGTACACATCGGATCCTTGGGTTGTCTCAACATGTGCATTTGGTTCATGTGTATTATTTTTTTTGGTGTCCATATATGATTTGAATCTCAAATACTTGAGTGCTAAGATGGTGTAGCATATGATGCTACAGTGTATAATCCTATAATACAATTGGTTATGCACCAACTAGTAAATGGCCCCTGCCCATCATTGTCCTGGATGCCTAATAACTTTTCCCCCTTTAGTATAAAGGAGATTGAAGACCCTTCCATCACTTTAGTGGAGTCAAACCTGTTTAAACTGCAGGTCTTAGGACAGGTGGCTACAATTAAATGTTGAGAACTGTTATATCTTTATTATATTTACTTTCCATTCTTTTGCCATTGTTGTTGCATAGTTGTCTCGTCCTATTGTTCTTTCTGGAGAATTACCATTTTAGTACATATTCCCACTTCAATATATATCCTTTTGCAGGCATTAGAAATCAACATGATCCTAGTAGTTCTCAGGTATGAAATTTGCTTCTTAGAATTTCTTACCATTGAACAAATTTTACTTGAATGGTGTACATACATGCATACATACGTGTGTAGGTTGGATATGGACATTTTTTTTCACAAARTGGATGTTCTCAAGCTTGAACCTGTTGCATTCTCATGCCTGTCAGTCCAAGATTTTATCACCAAGAAATGACTCCTACTACTCTTGCCCTGTAGAGACAAGGAGAACTAGTCAAAGGCTATTTTTGTACTTTTACCTTTCTTTCTTGGACTTTTCTTTCTCCTTGGTAATACGAAAATATATCAACTTTGATTTGGTATTGTCTAGAAGTGTTTGATTGTTGATATACTTTTTCAAGATATTCATACATCTCATATGCAGTCCGGTATCCCCTCATAGGAATTGCAATATCAGTCTCAACTGATCATAGTATCCATGATGCAATTTTTGCATTATCAATTTTCCTTTGATTGAGAGCCTTAATGTCTGAATCATCAGGTTTAGCTATAGACCCATCCAGATATCCCTGAAGTCCCTTTGCCTCAACATAGAATTGAAAATTAAATTTCCACAAGGCATAGTTCGTACCGTTGAACTTGATAGGGAGAACATCCATTCTGTCTAATGTCATTAAAAACAAAGAACAGCAGTGCACACTTCAAATCAGGTGATAAAGAGAGKTACCTTTCAGTCAATGTCCAGAAAAGGAAACTGAAAGTCTGCTGAACCAGAAGTGGATCAAAACCATTCTAAATCACAACCGATCCAAGCCAAATCAAGGGGAAACACTAGATGTCCTCTAGGCAATACCAAACCTAAAGATTCAAGCCGATCTGATGTTTCTACAGAGAGATCCAAGGAAAAAAAAATTTCTGATGGTGCAATAGTTGAGAGAACTGATCTGTATAGATCTGATCGAAGCATCCCTAGAGAAGGGGGTTCAAAGGCACTTGAAGAGTTCCCAATACTGTATTTATATTAAAGAAACATAAGAGGAAAAATCTACCCTCATGCATATTGCATATACTGTACAAGGCATTGCATCAAATGGTTTTCTTATTTCTGAAATGTAATTTTAATTTGGATACTTTGTTTTAATGGTAATATTAAAATTTTATACATTTGGACTTTCATGTTTCAATTTGTCCCCCTCCCCCTAATTCTCAACTCGTATATAAATGTCATTTTGGAGGTAAAAATTGAACCATTTGCCTTTGCTGTTTGAATTTTTGCAGACGTTTTGGCAAGATAATATTGACCCAGACAACATGACTTATGAGGTTTGCTACATACACTTTTCATACAATGCTATGAATGAGTATTCCTTGACAAATAACTTGTACTTGAAATAACCTTTGGATATGATGAATATGGCAATGGATTTTATTTCCTATTATGGGTTGTACCATCACATCTAGAAGATTCTTATATTCAACTCTTTCTCTGTTCTCCTCGTGTGGTACAATTGAATTTGATCATTGCCATGAATAGCACTTGTACTTTTCTGAGCTTTATATTAGCTTCTTGGAAGAGTGTAGGGAATAATTATGTTCCTTGAAGTTGGATTGAGCTACCTATATCTCTTTGCATCACCTTCACTTGGAGAAAAGTAGAAAATACAACTTTAGTTTTCAAATGCCAAGACAATCTTTCATTTGAAATTCTGAGGGAAGGACCAGGTGGCCTCTTTTTCCTGGGTTTGCCCCCTTTAGAATACAGGAATGTTCTATGTGCCAATTTAGCTTTGTTGTTAATAATTGCTATTGGTTATTATCTTTGACTTCTTTTGTTCACTGCTTGTTTAACAATAGGACAGGACACTGGTGAATCCATAGTTTGTGAATATTTGTCCATGCTTTTGCACTCCTGGTAGACTTGTTAGGATGCAACATCCAGTTTCTATCAGTTCCCTGCAAGGACTAAAATATTAATATACTCGATACCCAAAGTTTGGTATCGGTGCATATTGATATCACCTATGCTCCACTTTTTTCTCAACATTTTTCTTTTTTTGGTTTTATAGGGCATTAAAGGGATGTGAGAAGGTACCTTGAAGTTTTAAAACATTTAAAATATCTTGTATAGCTGTATCCATCCCTACTTGGGCGCACTGGTATGGATACGATATGCCTGATATTTTAATCCCTGGTTTCCTGACCACCTTTTTTATATCCGATTGTCTTTAATGTTTTATATGGATCCATACTATAGTTGGGTTCTCACTTTTGGCCTTATTTTCCTTCGAATCCAAACATATTATAGACTCATCCATCAGCATATCATAATCTTCCTTTTATAATGGGTGGTTGTAGAACTTGTGATGGGAAAAGCTGATTTAGGGGCTTACAGTCAATGTCTTATTTTTCCCAGAAATCCAAAATTGAGCACGTCAGCAATCAAAATTTGATCTGTGGTCATATACTTTGTTGATCAGTATCTGTGGTCATATACATTCATTATCATGGGGATTCATGGATGAATTTATAGTGGTCAGATTTTCAAGCACAATATCTGCAACTGAATTGAATTACTTATAAAAAAAAGGAAATCTGCAATCAAATTAAGTTCACAATTGAAGATATATGGTAGGAACAGATTCAGGGTCTACCTTGTCATCTGATGGTACATGCATCCTCCTATCCATCTTGAGGCCCAAATGTAGGTATTATTTATTTGGAGCATAATTAGAGGCCCATGAAATCTTATAAGGCTGCATATGTGTGTCTCAAATTATTTGGATGTGGGGGAATAATAGTCTGATTGTTGTTGTTGTTTTTTTTTTTTTTTTTTTTTGCATTTCTAAAGATGTTTCTTTTTTCTTGATTTTTTTGCTACCATGTGTTTTTAAGCATCTAATATATGTTAATCCAGAAAAGGTTTTACTGGACCTGAATAAGAAAAGGCATGGATTTTCTTTTGATGGTAAATATACATATCGGGTTTTAGTTGTTTATATTGAATGGGCATATTTGGCAGAATATTTGGCATGCCTTGTCCTACAGTGGTGTATGGCTCATATGCAAATTCGATACAAAGGTTCAAATTATTTGAAACACCCTGCTATGCACAAACGTGCATTATCAGGGGTTTCGATCACACTCTCCCCTTTTTTTATTAGTTTTATTTCCAAAATCGCACAGGGGGTAAGTCTTAGGCTAACCTACCCCTTGAAAATATCAAAAACCCCAAACACCTATTTTTTAGTGTATCGGGGCAGGACCAATATGATATGATATGCCCGGTATGTGACGGAATTTTGGACCTTGCTTGATTCTGTACCTACTACAAGATACATGTATTGTGAAAGGATTTACTACCTGTATTCTGTACTTGGTCCAAGCAGCACCTGCAGGATTTTGGTCATTGCACATGCAGATCTTTGATTTGTGTGCAATGACCAAAATGCCCTGCAGATGCAGCCTGGTCCAAACTTGGGGCTTCAATAGCACAGAAAATTTGTATTTTACTAACTTATTGTTAACAGATGAAAAAGACCAACTGTTAAAGCAACAAAGGACTGTTATTTCAACTCTGGTATGCAACAGCCATGGTATGACATGTGATGGTTACTAGCTAGATGAATGTGATATTTTGTGTAATTGATAAAAAAGGCTAGGATGTGACGAGATTTTCCACATGATGGTTGGACTTTGAATTTATTCCTAGAGTGTTATTAATGTTTATTCTGTTACATATCTAGCCTATTTATTTATCTTGACTGGTACATTGATAGACGTAATTTTCCCAGGTAAGTGTCAAGGGAACCATCTTTTGTAGAGTGTTCCATCTCAAGAAAAACTAATTATCTATAATGGATAGAAAATGCTTCTAACTTTTCATTTTCCTCCTGCTCATCTCTTAGGATAAAACAGCACTTTTCTCAATTTTAGGCTTGTGAAAATTATACATCAGGAGAACTTTTCATCTACATATTCTTAATATTCTATTATGGAGTAGCAGTTATGAACTCTTTTGGATCATTAATTTAGTAAGGCCCCACTTATTTGAATGCCTATTTTTTTGCCCCTTGCAAATCCCAGATAGCTGGGGCAAACATTGGACTTGGCCTTTTTTATATGACACTTTCCATTTACTACATTGACACAAATTAGAAGGGGTGGAAAGCAAATTTTTAACTGTAAAGGGGGCATAAATAATATCTAAGTATTTTAGTTAGGAAAATTTTATATCTAGTTATGGAGAAGCAAGCTTGTTGGCAGAAAGAATTATGTTGGAAGAAAATGGTTTAATCATGACTTTAAGTTATATTGGAAGAGAATTTGTAGTCGGGCATAGTTTGGTAATTAGCTGTGGTCTAAGAAAGAAAGGCAAAGCATATTGGAAGATTTTTACTCATGTGGTCATGTGGGGGATCTAGGAGGGACGAAATAATCTGGTGTCTGAGAATAGAGCCAGACTGCAGGTAGGTTGGAAGCACATACAATATATGTAATGTTTGGATCTTAACATCTGATGTTTTTGAAGGGGTATTAACATGGGAAACCTGAGTAGAAATCTAAGGGCGATCCTGCATTCTTCTCTCAAGCTCATTTGCCACGCAGAAGGTTATCTGACCAGCCAACGGACAAGGAGTTCACTATCAATTTGATGGAACTTCTTTTGGAATCCTGGGAAAGGATGGTATAGGGTGAATTTTGTATGAGAAGAGTGGGGCAGTTGTGTAGGTTTTTAGCAGGACAATTGGTGTGTCTGGCTCTATGAAGGCAGAAGTCTTGGATACTAACAGGTCTGGTTTGCTACTTCGCCTATTGTGCCTTTACCTAGGTGACTTCGTGAACACTAAAATGGATTGATGACCGGGGGAGTGGGCCGTGGAGGTTTGACTAATTATCTGGATGAAGTGAGAGATTTGGCAATGTTCTTGCATGCTTCTGTTTGTTGGATCCCCAGAGAATTAAGCATTTTTGCAGACAGGTCAGCCAAATCAGGGGGTGTATAATGTGGACTTGCATGGTGATTCTTCCCTTCCTAGCTAGTGGTTGTGTGTTTTTCATGGTATGTACATCCCCTCATGTACATGTATTTTTGTCCCTATTTAATATTATCATAGTTACCTTTTCTTTGAGAAAAAAAGTTTGGTAATTAGCCACCAGATATAGTGAGTTAGTTTCTTGGAAACAGCCTCTGTATGTGCAGGGGTAAGGTTGCGTACATCTGTCCCTCCCCAGACCCTGCATTGGCAGGAGCCTTGTCTCTGGGCTGCCCTTTTTATATAGTGAGTTAGTTTGATGATTTAGAAGCCGTGTTTTAGTTTCTGACACTATGATTAACCTTGTTTACATTGACATAACAATTTATCAAATAAAAAAAAAGAAAACATTGGCATAACAATGGCTTCAAATAGAGGTGTCAATTGGACTCGATTTGGTCCAACCCAATCAATCCATTCCAATACGAGTGCACTTACAAATGGACTGGACCCAATCCAGTCCAAATCCAATACAAACCAAATCCAATCCAATCCATTAAAATGTAAATGGATTGGATCCGATCCAACTCAAACTGAATGAAATATCAAAAATTATATAAAATCACTTTTGGCATTGAAAAAACACTTTTGTAAAATTACTTTGATAAAAGTATTTTCATAAAAGTGCTTTTGTAAAAGCACTTTTAGAAAAGTACTTCCATAGACTTTTATAAAAGTACTTTTGTAGAAGTGCTTTTGTAAAAGTGCTTTTATAAAAGTACTTCCATAAAAGTGCTTTGTAAAAATGCTTTCGTAAAATTACTTTTATAAAAGCATTTTTGTAGAAGTGTTTTTAAAAGTGCTTTCATAAAAGCACTTTGGTAAAAGTTCTTTCATAAAAGTGCTTTCATAAAAGTTCTTTTGTAAAAGTGCTTCCGTAAAAGTGCTTTCGTAAAAGTGCTTTTATAAAAGTATTTCTATAAAGGTGCTTTTGTAGAAGTACTTTTACAAAAGTACTTCCGTAAATTTTTTTTTGTAAAAGTGATTTCATAAAAGTGCTTTCGTGTAAAAGTACTTTTATAAAAGTGCTTTCATAGAAGTACTTTTGTAAAAGTGCTATTGTAAAAGTACTTTTGTAAAAGTGCTTTCGTAAAAGTACTTTTGTAAAAATTCTTTCGTAAAAGTAATTTTATAAAAGTACTTTCATGAAAATACTTTTCATAAAATTAATTTTATAAAAGTGCTTTCATAAAAGTACTTTTGTAAAAATGCTTTTGTAAATGTGATTTTAGGTTTTGCCTCATGATCGGATTATTGAAAATTTGGTTTAGGCCCAATTCAAACTAATAGGAATATGGATCAATTTATTTTGGATTGGCCCAATCCAATAATCATAATGGACCATCCAAATCCAATTTGATAAGGTTTGGATCGGATTGGATCCAAACGAAAACTGGTCGATTGACACCCCTAGCTTCAAACGGAATTCTGTGCAGTTGAGTACGAGTCTCTGAAAATGCTAAGAATAAATAGTGACTGCTTTCTTTGGGAATCTGTTTTGTTTTGAATTATCTTCCTATTGAGATGTAAGCATAAAATGCTTTTAAATTCTTATTGAGTTAAATGCTGGTGATCTGGCTTACTTTTTCAGAGTTCTCTTAGTTTTTTTTTTTTTTTTTTTTTTTTTTTTTTTTTTTTTTCTCACTCAGAATTCCTATATTTAATTGGCTATTAACACAATTTTCATCATAGGAACTACTTGATCTGGGTGAGGCAGTTGGAACCCATAGTCGAGGTCTCTCCCAAGAGCACATTTCTCAGCTTCCAATATCAAAATTCAAGTGTGGGTTCTTCTCAAGGAAAAAATCTCGAGGGGAACGGTAAAAGTTCAAGCTTTTTAACTGTTCTTTAAAATTGCATTAGCATCTTTTCTTCCTATCTGCTGACTGGAAATTTAAACATTTTATTATGTTTTACAATGTTGATCTAACTTATCTCTCATGGAAATCTTCATGTTATTTGTCTCAATCATCTACTTGAAAGAAAAATGCACTTGTTGGCAGACCGAGTGTCCATGTGAACTAGCAGCAATTAATGCTGGATGACAAGACTTTACCTTGATGTTGTGAGACTTGGACCAGATGGTTTAACCATTGACCTGATAACCTAGTCACCTTTCTGGGTCCTTGTTAAATGATGATTTTCATTGGTTTGAACAGGCTAATTGCTCAGTTAACTGGTAAAACTGAGTCTGTGACCCAGTGAGCATTTTGATTTGTATTGCCTTGTAAGGTATCCAAGAGCCCAAGGGCCACCAGACCTTGGAATAACCAGAAAATTACCATCTTGAAGGGTATGATAAATTAATCCATGGATAAGGCCAGGAGCTCAGCACAAGAAATTCCTTCCCCATGGGGGACCTGAATAACTCTTAAAATTTCTACCATTCTCATCATAAAAATGTTAACAACCTAGCCTACTTCAAAAATAAAGAGATAATGGGGTCCATGTGTTTTCATATTTTTGTCAAAAGCAAGAATCACAGTTATTGTGTGGACGTCCTCAAGTAAAGTTCATAATTGCAAGGCATTCTTGAACAGAATACAGAATGAAATAGAAAATGCAAGTATACAGTTTGTTGTCTGTACTCCAAGACAAATCTCATAACTGGTCCTTTTTTAACAGTGTAAGTTTCTCTTTTTTTATAGGTATGGCTGCAACTGTTAGAAATTTGTTTTTAGGAAACTAGGAACTTGTGGAAATATTATTGTGACCTAAAAATTTTGCAAAGGAATTTCTTTTCTGCTTCACCTTCTTCTGTGCTCAATAGGTAATGAATATGAATTTCCACTGTTGGTGGCAAACAGATGTGTGATTTGTCAGATGGAATACAAAAGAGGAGACCGGCAGATCACTCTGCCTTGCAAACATGTCTACCATGCTGGCTGCGGCGCTAGATGGCTCAGCATCAATAAGGTCAGTTGTTGAGGGGGAAAAAGAACATTAATCTAAACTAAGTTCAGAAATTTTCCTACACATGCCCTTCTCTTCTTCTTCTTAGAAGAAAATATATCTTTCTAATTTTGTTTTTCTTCATTATCAGGCATGCCCAATTTGCTATAGAGAGGTATGTGGCAACAAGGAATCAAGGCATTGAAACACTCTTTCCAGGAAAAAGGAATAATGTCCTGTGGTCTGCTTTGGCTGCTTCTACATGCTTTACTTCCGCAAGCTCGGATTTCTACTTAATGGAGTTACATGCAGATTGCAGTATTCTCATTTTCTTTTTTCCTTTCATACGTTGTCCTCTTGTGGGACTAGCTCCACAATAAACTGAAAGTGATCGAACAATTTAGACCTGATCTCTCCACTTGAAGAATACAACATACCGAATTTCCTGTTGAATATAGATTCATTTGTTGTATGGCTTTTTCAAACAACAATTGGTTTTCTCAATTCAGTTGCGGATTGAAAATGGATTCTGAATTGCAGGTTTACGTATGCAACAAACAGTTTTGCTCTGGTAAACTTTTGGCAAGGAGAAAGAGAAGCCAGCTCCCCATTCCATTTTAAATGTAACAGTTTGGCAAGGAGAACAAATTACTAATCAATACTACCAAGGCAGTATTTGGCATTCATTATTTTATAAGTCTTTTTTTCAGTTAAAAACTCAATGTTCATACGGGCATTTTAACATCCGAAAGGAGTCAAGTCTTTAAAATAAGGAATGCCAAATGCAGCCGAACTCCCTTCTAGTGACTGTAATCTTAACACTCCTTCAAGTTCAACTCCATGGCTATAAGCCTTGTTAAAAGGCTCTTCTTGTTGTGGCTGTCATCATCATCATTTGCAACCATTTATGACATCATTGTTGTTGTCGATACCATCATCATCATCCTCCTCATTGCTAATACAGCTTTTGTCATCACCATCGACATCCTCATTGCTAATACGGCTCTTTTCATCATCATCATCATCCATATCATTGTTACCCGAGGTTTTATTTTTATCATCACTGTCTTCAACATCTTTGTCCCTGTCATTACTGTCATTACAGTTGCTTTCATCGTCATTCTCATGGTTGTCGCTACCGGCCTCAACATTATTGTTACTGTCATTATTGCTGCTACAGCTCCTTTTATCATCATCATTGCTACAGGAGGTCTCGTTATCACTGTCGTCAACATCATTCTTACTATCACTATTGCTGCTACAATTCCTTTCATCATCATCATTATCATCATTGCTACTGGATGTCTCATCATCACTGTCCTCAACATCATTGTTACTGTCATTGCAGCTACTACAGCTCCTTTCATCATCATCATCATCATCATCGCTGCTAGAGGTCTCATCAAGACAGTCCTCAACATCATTGTTAATACTATCATTACAGCTATTATAGCTCCTTTCATCATCATCATTATCATCATCGTAGTCACAGCTACTGTAACTCCTTTCATCATCATCGTATTCGCCACTACTATCATAATCATCATCGTCCATCATATCACTATCATCATCATCATTATTGTCATATTCATCATAATAATTAATATCATCATCATCATCATCTTCATTTTCATCATCACTATATTCCTCCTCACTATAATAAATACAAGACCCCATGCTCCCTTCATCAGCAATCGCCAAAAACGGTCGTACAAACTCCATTCCATGGTGCATGAAAAAAGCCAATAATAAAACAGTGAGGCTTCTGTAGACCCAATAGTAGACGACCCCGATAACATACCCACTCATTGGCAATGCAATCTCAACATCTGATAAACATCTCATCAAACCCTCCATCACCTTCCCTCCCAAACTCAAAGCTGCACCAGATAGAACCTTGCAACGGGATCCACAACCACAAAAAATACCTCTAATAGTTGCTCTTGTGGTTTCAGCCAGTCTTCGGACACCACCAGAAAGAGAGAAAAAGCTTGCTAGCAGACCGTCGCGATTGAGTGCCTGACGCTGCAAGCAGAGAGTGATCGCAGGCAGCAGAAGAGCAGCATAGCGAAGAGGCAGGAGGTACAAAGAAATCTGAAAGATGGGAAGAACCACAGAGTAGAAGAAGATAGAAGTTAAGGAGATACGAGGCAGGTTGATAAGCCACTGAAGGGTGAGAGACACAAAGACGGAGAGTCTGAAGAATGCAGCAGGCTCCATATCGCTGGTTCAATGCAATTTTCGATCTCCTTTCTTTGATGGTTTGCAATATACGGTCTCTATAGCTACCAGGTGATTTTTATAGTCAGAAATTCAGAATACAGCTTCCAGTTCGAGTTCATGTACAAAAAGGAGTGGGAGTGAGAGAAGGTGACATACATCGGTTGGGAGTGAGACACCGACAAGAAACTTTCCTTGTTTGACTTGGTCTTTAATACTGTTTTGGGTTTATTTCCCAAAACTGGATTCTGGGAGGATCATCTGGGCCGACTCTTGTGGGCCCTGGCCCAGTACTCATGCCACGTGTATATATTCAGAGCCATTGATATGACATTTCTACTCGTAATTATCGTTTTGTGGATGCATCACGATTCTGACTTGAACGATTGATTCTCTAATTCAGAAACGGGATTCAATCAGAGCAAAGTACATTAGATCTCTTATGGAGAGAATTCACGTCAGGGATCAAAAGCACAAAGAGAAATTTTATTAAAACAAATAAAAAAAAAGGATTATAAGGGTATCTTCGATCGGTCCAGCTTAAATAGAGGTGTAAGGTGGGTCGTGCTGTCCTCCCTAGTGAAAGTTTTAGGGGTTAGTCCAGTATGGGCCAAGCCCATGTGGGCTCGTATTGTGTTATGGGTTAGACTGGTTCATGGTCTTCTTTATGCCAGGTCGGGTTGTGCATCGGCCCAAAGCTATTTATTTAAAAAATTGATAAAAAACTTAAAATTTTAATTTTATATGAATTTTGTGTATACAATTGATTATATATATAATAATTAAATAAATTAATATAATAAAATTTAAAAATATTTATTTTATTAATATATTATATACCATATATTTTTAAATAATTATAATTTATAATATTATATAAATATATAAATAATATATATGGGTTATGTTGTGAATCGTGCTGGCCCGCTCGGTCGTACCATACCGTGTTGACCCGTAAGCCTAAAACCCTAGGCCCAGCACGGCTCGCATGATCGTATTAGGCCTGACACAGCCCGTGGACCGCCATGCTAGGCTTGTCCAAGCTTATGCTGGACCATGCCGGGCTGCGGGCAGTATGACCTGGTTGACACCTCTAGGTCCAAGACGAAAAGGAGGCCAATTCAAGAGAAAAATACACAGCTTCCTTACACCTGTGAAGGTCTCTCTTCTTGCTCCTCCCAACTCATACCATCCATCCTCACATGGAGCCTTCTTGATTGCTTCTTGTTCCAACCTATGAAGGTCTCTCCAGCAGATTCTTCGGTCTTCACTACCGAGAAACAACAACTCTAAAGACTAGGGGTGATCATTCTTGGCCCTGGCCTGCCACAGCCCACAAATTTCTGGGCCCAAGCCCAGAAAATTTTAGGTTGGGATTGGGCCCAACACTTTAAGTTCGGCCTGGGCTGGGCCTTGACTTAGCCTATAATAGAATATATAATATATTCTTTTATTATAATATATATATATATATATATATATATATATATATATATAATATGTACATTTTATATTTTATATTAAATGTATTATATATAAAAGTTAAAAATTTTGTTTTAATATATAAATAAACTATCATGAGTAAACACATACAACACTTTAGTTAATTCAAGTACTAGAATTGTCCTCTTAAGTAAGGTGGGAATTAAATGATAGGTAAGCCAACTCGAATCAAGCATGGAAATTAAATGAGGCGTATGCCTTATTTTTTGTGCCATGAACCCAAAACATAACCAAGGTCAATTTAACTTGGATTTGTGTAATATTTTTTTATATATTACATGTTATTTAATTTTAAAAATTAAATTTAGATATATCATGGGTCCAAAGTCATTATTCATTAGGCCTAAAATTTCGTAAACCTAACCCAGGATAATGTTAGGCTTGCAATTTAAGCTGGGCCTGATTTTAGGTTAGAGCCTTTATCATTGGTCTTAAACCTGTCCAAAGTCATTATTCATTAGGCCTGTAAGTTAATTGGTCTTAAACCTGTTCGGACTTAATCCAATCCGACCCATGATCACCCATGCTGCTTGTCCTAAAATAGAAGTTGCTTGATTGCTTCCTCTTGAATGGCCACCGCAATGCCAAGATTGAACTCTCTGGGATCAACAACCTCAAGAGGCACGTTGTCTTCCCACCGCTTCAAGCACTTGAACTATGCCGCTTCAAGCACTTGAACTATGCCAAAACACCATCATCAAATTCTTTGATACGGATTCTTACCTACTACCAGAAAATAGCTGTATCAGCCTTTGAGTTGTAGTGCTGGATCACCACTTGAAAGGACTTTCAGCAACCACATGGAGGCCAAAACAAATCCTTGATTTGTCTCTGCTCAGCATTTCAAACGGTGTACAAGGTTGATAGAGCCCAAGGTTTAAAGTATGGATACGTATCCGGGATCCCACCGATATGCCCCTATAGTGGGTGTGGGTGTATCGGGGTTCTGACCAGTTTAGGGGATGGAGGACACTTAAACTGCCCTTTGAACCAGTTTCAGAAAAAAATAGAAAAAACTAAAAGAAATAGTACCGATTCACTCTATACACCCATACCGACGTATCCGGCATATCAATATTTTGAACCTTGATAGAACCACATCAGATTCCATCCCACTTATACCCCTGTGAGGACTGTAGCTATTGAACTTGAGATTTAGTTCTCACAAAATTATGCTCATACCATATTCAGTTACTTGTAACTGTGCATTAGAAATATCTTTGTATTGTATATATTTATTTAGGCCACATTTGTTTGGGGTGGAGGATCGAATTGGAGTAAACTTTACACCTTGGTTCGATTTTCCACATGTTTGGAATGCGTGTAGTTTTACACTATAAATTGATTAAAAATGATTTTTGAATTTTTTTACATTGATAAGCGATTTAATATATACACCGAAATTATTATTGTAATTTTACAATCTCTTTCTTCCTCTCTCTCTTCTTTTTCTCTTCGCAGATTGGAACCCAAGGCGGCAGCGACAGGTGATTTCTCTCTCTCTCTCTCTCTCTCTCCCCTTCTCTCTTCTTCTTCTCCTTCTTCTTCCCCTTTTTTTTTCTTTCTCTCTTTCGTCACTGCTGCTGCAACCAGTGCAGCGGCAGATCTGAAACCATGGCAGCACTGGCATTGGCATGCGTATTCTCTCTCTCTCCTCCTCTCTTCTTCTCTCTTCTTCTTCTTCTTTTTCTTCTCCCTTTTTTTTTTCTTTCTCTATTCCGTCACCGCCACTGCAACCAGTTGCAGCGG